TGGAGGTTAGCTCAGGAAGCTTCACGACCAGCCCCTCCCACCCGGACTGTGGTCCCTCCCTCAGACAGACAGCTTCGCCCTCGCAGGTAAGCTCGGTTCTTCAAGGAGGGGGGGGTGTGGCATACTGCGTAGCCACATGGGCCCTGCAGGGCCCGTCCCGGACATTCAGCCTAAAAGCCTAAAACTTAGGGCTTACACGCCCCGGTCATTTCAGCCTGAAAGCTGAAAAACGAGGGCCTGCAGGCCCTACTCCGTTTCAGCCCATTTCTAGGTCTTTCAGACCCAGAGTTTTTCCAGCCTGATATGGAGGGCCATTTTCAGGCCCTCATTGTTTTTGACCACCCTAAGACTCAGGCACGAATACAGGGTTTCGGAACAGGCCAGAAATAGCCTGTTCCTCACGAGCTTGAGCAGGAGCTGCAGCTGCAGCCCYTGCCTGCCTTCGGCATTGGCAAGAGCAGCCTCCTGGACTGCTCGCACGAGGCAGGAGGCACACACACCGGTAGTACATAGGTAGTTCCCATGCACTTCCCAGGTAGGGAGTTGGACATTCGGCAGGAGTAGTCTTCAGGATTCGGCCGCAGCACTCAGGAGGAGCGCTGCAGTAGTCTTCAGCGCTAGGCAGTAGAGTAGCGCTAGCTGTAGTCTTCRGCGMTGRGYGCCCATAGCCATAGCAGTAGTCTTCAGCGCTGGGCGCTGTAGGTGGTAGGTAGTAGAGTTGGGAGAGACACTGGCGGAGGCCAGTGGTACTTACCTGTGGCGCCATCGCCCCAACTCCATCTTCGAGGTACCTGCATCAAGGCGCCAACTTCACAGGTTAGTACTGGACTGAGAGAGAGAGAGAGAGAGAGAGTTCTTATTCCTCTTCTTCTAAGTCCACCATCTCTTCTTCCCCTCTCACCACCTGACTTCTCAGTATCAGCGGACTACTACARAGAGAGAGTTGTGACATGAGACTTGAYGACATTGGATCCAGACTCGACATTGGGATTCAGACATTTTGACGAGGGACTAYTTGGRCCTGTGCTGAACACTTGGTGTTGACGACATTCCCATCTTCCCTTCTTCTTCGTCTAACCCCACCTCCTTCGTCTGTGTATGGTTGGGGCTGGCRCAGTCTTCTTGTGTGAAGCGCCAGACCCCTTCACACCATGATGATGATGATGTATGTTCGGGGCTGCATTGCAATCTTGATTGTTCGGATCATTGGTATCTAAGTCTTCCGTTGTGCTATCTTATACTTTGTATTGAAAGGTCGGTTCTTGTTCTGGTCTGCACCTATACGGTATGCAACACCTACTGAACTCGCAAACGAGTATTTCTTTCTTTCTCTCGAAGTTTTTGCAAAGTTCGAACTTTTCTTTTTGATTAGTGGCTCCTTATCTGGGCGATTTATCCCACCCACCCCTCCCACCTATGTTGTTGCCCCCTCTGGTCTTCTATTGGTCTCCGGGTAACCCCTGCGGCGGTTGCCACATCAGCAGGCCATGTCAACATGCCACGTCAGCACACCACGTCAGCAGGCCACGTCAGCAGGACACGTCAACTGACAGCCGCGCCACATCAGGAGCTGCGCAGTGCCACGTTAGCAGCAGGGAGTGCCATGTCAGCAGTCCTCCGGCCTGGTCGATGCTCACGCGCTTACAAACAGTCGGCATGGATCAGAAGTCCGGGGAAACGACGGAGGCCTATCAGGCCTGGATGCTGGCTTTGATTACCGAAGCCAAGAAACAGGCGGATGAGGTAGCAGCTGCAGAGAAAAAGAAGGCAGAGGACGCCGAGAAGGCAGGTCTATTGGCAATCGAATAGCAGCGCCAGCAAGACGAGGCAGCAGCAAGGGCTGCCGATGAAGAACGAAGTCAACGGCGCAAGAAGATATTCAACGGAGAGCGAGCCTTGCTCACAATGGCAGCGGACTGGCAAGCCGAGGCCGGGAATGGTAAGATGGAAGAGAGTGAAAGCAAGATCGCTCTACTCCTCTCCCATTTCACGGATCTCCCGGCAACGTGCATTGCACAGCAGGAGGACATCCACAGCCTAGATGACGCGGTTCAGACGCACAACCAGGTGTTTGATCTCAACAGACGCCTCCAGCAGCTGGAGCAATGACCCGTCGCCACCCCCAATGCCAGCTCCTCCAACACCTCCGATCGCCTCAATGCATTGGAGATCGACGTCGGAACCCTCAAGGACGACGCGCAGCTACAGCAAACCGCCACGCAACAATTGGAGCAGCGGATCTGTGCTGTCGCCTCCACACCGAGTTCGGCACCGCGTGAGACGACTCCAAAGTTCGATGGTCAGGAGATCTTCTACAATTCGACGAAGACGGACCCGATTCCGTGGTTCCGCAAGTTCGAGCTCAAGTTGCAGCTACACCACGTCAGCGAGGACAAGCATCACACGTACTTATACTCCCGGTCGGGGGGCACGTGCCAAGCATGGTTGGACAATCTCTTGTCCAAGTACGGGGTGGTAGCTGCCGACTTGTACACCAAGATCAACTGGGATGATCTAAAGGCCGAGTGGCATAAGCGGTTCCAAGTAGATCTGTCGGAGATCAAGGCCATGGACAAATTGCTGACCTTTGAACAAGGCATGCTGCCGAGTGTTGACTGGATTGCCGAGTACCAACGCTTGACATCCATCCCAGACATTCAGATGGGCTTCAAGGCCGTCAAACACTACTTTATCACGAGGTCGTGTCCGGCGTTGGGCAACGCCTTGACTCACGTCGAGGACACCCAAATGACAACGGCGGAGCTCTTCGACAAGGCCGCGCAGATCCTTGTCACGAACAAGGAGGCTAAGAACCTCAACCGTTCATCTGCGGCAGGCCCGAGCAGAGATCAGCATCGGCTGAAAGTGGCCGTGGTCGTGGCGACAACGCCAACCGACCCTTCTAGCGAGGCCGTGTCTGCCAATGAAGGGGACAGACTCGCAGCCGCCCGGAATGGTGGCCGCCCCGACAAAGGCTGAGGACACGGCAAGACGAAGACGAACACCGCATCTATCCCCGGGCCCGGCGCAGCAGCTCCAACCCATGGTCCCACTATGGTCTCTCCGAACGTGCGTACAAGCTACGCACGAGATTCCGCTAGTGTCTGTGGTGGAACAGTGATCTCCACGACACAGTGGGTTGCCCGTCGAAAGGCAAGGGCAAGTCGGGAAACAGAGAACGGCCGGGAGTGAATCGACGACACTCTCGACGCCATTGGAACCGGTCGCTTCGCGGGTGACCGCCCTTCGTTCCGAGGCACATGCGGAAGTCGATAGTCCTCCTCTTCTATATTCTTATGAGGACTATGCTTCCCGACTCGTTCCTACGCTGGGTACTCATGCTCAAAAACAAGACGTGTGTGCGGCATCTTCTCCGTCCGGCAGCGGCGACTTATCGTCTTCAAGTAGTTTTTCACGGGATTCGGCGCGCGAGTTCAACATAGAGGTCTTGGACCCGCTCACGTCGAAGGATTTCGCATGGCTTCCTCTCCCGACCACGGGCTGCTTGCCGGGACCGCAATGCGCAGCATTATGCGCTCATCTCCACACGTATCTATCCTTTTATGCACCACCAACTTCGTCGACGGATGACGAAGCTGCGGTGGGGGACATCCTTGCGTATGTTACCAAGGTGGCCCGCGAGTTTCGCAAGCAGCGGTACGATGACAACAACGCACCGCTCCTCTACGTCCGCATCCAAGTTGGGCAAGCGTCCTGCAGCGCTTTGCTGGATAGCGGCGCGACTCGCAATTTCATCAGCCAAGCCTTTATGCAAAAAAAAGGCTGGCCTTGTCGCACAAGTTCGAAGGAAGGCAAACCCGACGGCGATCAAGTTGGCGGACGGAAGGACGCAACAACTTATCGACCGTTACATCGAGGCCGTACCGGTGTATTTCGCACCTCATGCATGTGAACCGGTGACGTTCGACATTTTGAACACGGACTTCGATATCGTTTTGGGAATGCCTTGGCTTGCAAGGGCAAATCACACGGTCAACTTCCACCGGCGGACTCTTACCGTTCGGGACACCTTCGGCGCCGAAGTGTCGTGTACTATTCCTCTTCCGCACCGTTCGATTTGGTGTCAAGTGGTGACGGCCAAGTCATTCCGGGCTACTTGCGCTTACGAGCAGCCCGACGAGATAGGCCTATGTTTCCTACGGACCGTCGCGGTAGCCGACTCTTCACCCACGGACTTGTCTTCGGACCCCCGTGTGGTGCGGTTGCTTTACGAGTTCACCTACATCTTCGAGTCACCTACCGGTGTGGTGCCGGATCGACTGAACTCTCACGAGATCATTCTTGAGGTCGGTGTCGTGCCGCCGAAAGGCTGCATTTACCGCTTGAGCAAGGAGGAGCTTACGGTCCTCCTCGCACAACTCGATGACTTGTTGGACAAGGGCTGGATCCGCCCTAGTAGCTCCCCATATGGAGCACCAGTTCTCTTTGTACGGAAGAAGAACAAGGATCTACGATTGTGCATCGACTACCGCAAGCTCAACGCACAAACCATCAAGAATGCGGGGCCTCTTCCTCGTATCGAAGATCTTCTTGAGTGATTGGGCGGCGCAAAGTACTTTTCTAAGTTGGATTTGAAGTCGGGATATCATCAGATTTCGATCCGTCCGAACGATCGCTATAAATCCGTGTTCAAGACGCGATATGGACATTTTGAGTGGGTGGTCATGCCTTTTGGCCTCACCAACGCCCCGACGACCTTTCAAGCGGCAATGACCAACGAGTTTCGTGTGATGTTGGACCGGTTCGTACTAGTCTACTTAGACGACATTCTCGTCTATAGCCGGACATTGGAGGATCATCTTGAGCACCTTCGACAAGTATTGGAGACGCTCCGCCGCGCCAAGTACAAAGCCAACCGCGACAAGTGCGAATTTGTTCGACAATAGCTGGAATACTTGGGCCATTTTGTCACATCGGAGGGCATCAGTCCGTTGTCAGACAAGGTTCAAGCCATCCAAGAGTGGCCGGAACGTCACGGATGTCCGCGCTATTATATGTGGAGGTCTTGCGCATATATGACCCGCTATTGCCAACACGCGTGACTACGGATCCGTTCGGCTATAGCATTGGTGTTGTCCTCGAACAACACGATGGCATGGACCGACACCCGATCAAGTACTTCAGCAAGAAAGTGCTCGCCATGCACTTCATTGATGATGCACGCAAGGAGGAGCTCCAAGCCTTCGTCCATGCGCTCAAGCAGTGGCGGCACTTCCTCCTTGGTCGAAGTCAATTCCGATGGGTAACGAACAACAATCCGTTGGTCTTATACAAGACCCAAGACACCATTAAGAGCACCATCGCCCGTTGGATGGCTTTCATCGACCAATTCGACTTCTTTCCCGATCACATTCTGGGGAAGTCTAACTGTTTTGAGAATGCTCTTTCACGGTGTCCGGATCATTGTACCGCAGTCTATTCGACCTTCGAGATCGACAACGACCTCTGGGATAGCTTCATCCACGGCTACCAAGCCGACCCCGAATTTCGCGACAAGTACGCGAATTGCTCCTCTCCTAATCCGACGCCTTCTCACTACCGGATCCAAGAGGGGTACTTGCTTGCCCACATGCGGGGGAAGGACCTTCTTTGTGTACCGAGTGACTCTCACTTGTGTACATGGCTTCTTGGCGAGTTCCACGATGCTCCCGCCATCGGACACTTTGGAGTCAATCGCACGATTGGCCGACTTCGTGAGCGCTTTCGGTGCCCCGGCCTTCTCGGCGACATCACACGCTATTGCGAGTCATGCGAGGTTTGCCGACGCTGCAAATCCTGCAACCATCGTCCGTACGACGAGTTGCGACCATTACCGGTCCCCTTGTGCCGAAGGGAAGCGATTGCCATGGACATTACCGGGCAGTTCCCCAAGCACAAGACTGGTGTGGATGAGATTCTCACGGTGGTCGACCAACTCACCAAGTTCGCCATGTTTTTGCCTTGCCGCTATCATGCCAAGGCACCGGAGTTGGCTGACGTTTTTTACGCGGGTTGGATTCGAACCAAGGGTTACCCCAAGAAAATCGTTTGTGACCTCGACACTCGGTTCATGTCCGATTTTTGGTTGGGGCTCATCTCTCAAGCCGAGTTCAGATCGCCACCCCCAAACCGATGGCCGAACGGAGAGGGCCCATCAGACCGCAGAGGTCCTCCTTCGCATTCTCATCCATCCCGACCAAAAGGATTGGGTTGAGCAGCTGCCGGATGTCCAGTTGGCATACAACACGTCCATCTACCCGACTATCGGGATGTTTCCCTTCGAGTTTGAGCACGGCTCGCCGGTCACTTCCCCGTTGGACACAATCATTCCACGAGCGACCGAGAGCGACGACCATCTTCTTTTCTTGCGTCGGATGCAAGAGCTACTTGTCAAGGCATGCGACCAGATGGCTAAGACGCAACAACGCATGAGCCAACAGGCCAATCGCCAGCGTCTTCCTTGCCCATTCAGCGTCGGCGATCTCGTTTGGGTTTCCGCCGCGGAGTTCAGCCTCGAACAAGATATCGCTCGCAAGATCCTCCCAAAATGGATGGGACCCTGGCCGATTGTGGCGCCCACTGGGGATGCACCCGAAGGACCTTCCTTCACCATTCAGGTGCCCGCCCACTTGCCCGTCTACCTGGTCTTTCATTGCTCCAAGTTGGCTCCTTACACGCCAGCGGAACATGACGATTTTCCCAGGCGACGATCGCAAGACCCACCCTCTATAGACGATTTTCAAGAGGTCGGCGACATCATCTCCCAACGACGCTACGGCAACAGGCCGACCGAATACTTGGTACACTTTGCGTACTGAACCCACAAAGTTGACCGTTGGTTGACCCGTGCGGAACTCCAAGCTACAGCTCGAGATGTTCTCGCATGCTACGAACACAAGATGCAAGGCAAGCCAGTATCTTCGGCTCCACGTCGCAGCCATGTCCAGGTTCCACCTTCAGATCGTCAGCTTCTCCCTCGACCCGGCTTGACTTCATAAGGAGGGGGGGGGTGTTACATGCTGCGCCTGAAACGATGGCCATTTTCAGGCCCTGTGTTGTTTTCAGCCTAAAAGCCTGAAAACAAGGGCCTATAGGCCCTGTGTCGTTTCAGCCTAAAACAGGGCCCTCTAGGCCCTGAGTCTTTTCAGCCTGAAATGGAGGGCCATTTTCAGGCCCTCATAAGATCGACCTGCCCTGAAACTTAGGCACCAGACCAGGGTTTTAGCACAGGCCATTTTGGGCATGTTTTCAAGACAACCTTTGTTTGAGCTTCAATGCCAGGGTCTGGCACGCTTTTGCATTGGCAAGAGCAGCCTCCTGGAGGGGCCAGCACTATATAAGACTGGCCCGCCATGCAGGCTGCAGGTAGTTCATAGGGACTTCCCAGGCACTTCACGTGCAGTTCAGGAGGCAGGAGGTAGTCTTCAGGATTCGGCAGCAGCACTCTGGAGGAGTGATGCAGTAGTAGTAGTAGCGTTAGCAGTAGTCTTCGGCGCTGGGCGCTATTAGGAGCTAGAGTAGTATTGAAGAGATATAGAGATTGGGCGGACGCCAGGGAGACTTACCTGCAGCGCCATAGCTCCAGCTCGTCGTCGAGGTACCTGCAGCACGGCGCCATCTTCACAGGTTAGTACCTGGCACATGAGAGAGAGAGAGAGAGAGAGAGAGAGAGTTCTTCTTCTTCCTCTTCTCAGTCCACCATCCCCCCCTCACCCTCTCGCTACCTGACTTCACTGCATCAGCAGACTACGAGAGAGCGGGATTGGTGACATTTGAATCCAGACTCGACATTGGGCTTCAGACATTTGATTAGGGATTATCTGGGACTTGTACCGAAGACTTGGTGTTGACGACATTCCCATCTTCCCCCTCTTCTTCGTCGGATCCCCTCCTCTTCGTCTGTGTATGGTCTGAAGCTGGCCGTGTGTAGCGCCAGGCCCCTTCACACCTTGTGATGAGGATGATGTATGTTTGGTCTGCATTGCGACATTGATTGGACTAGTCATTGGTATTCTAGCATTCTGCTGCGCTATCTTGTACTACGTGAGAGAGGTCAGTCCCGATTAGGTCAGGACTTATATCTAAGTCTTCCACTGCGCTAAAAAACACCATTTTTGTATGTATCAGGATGTACACTGCTTGTTGAGATTCCACTCACACCGCATTGTCCATTCAGTCTTTTTTATCATATTGTGGATCCTTGGCTATACATACATTGCCCAACTGGGCATGTAACACAGAGGGAGAGTGTGGTCAAGGTTTCAAGGGCAGGTAGATTAGAATTTTCCAGGCGGTGGGGTAGAGTAGGCAGTTAGCATTCTAGGCACTGCGGTTTGTGAGGTTTTGCAGGCCGTGAAGGCATTTTTTGTACGAACCAGTGCACTCGCTTCAGAGCAGGGTCGCAGTAGGCCAGACTGGGGAGGAGGGTGGTAGAGGACTACAGTGACTCGGAGCAGGATGCTTCAGTTGGCCGAGGTTGATCCGGCTCCAGGTCGGGATAGGCCTGTGACTAGTAAG